GAAAGTCAGCTAAACTCATATCATTGTGGGAAAATTCTACTACCAGTCCTTCATCACCTTACACGAAAAAAGTCAGCTAAACTCATATCATTGTGGGAAAATTCTACTACCAGTCCTTCATCACCTTACACGAAAGAAACGTCAGCTCAACTCATATCATTGTGGGAAAATTCTACTACCAGTCCTTCATCACCTTACACGAAATTGTAAAAGTCAGCTAAACTCATATCATTGTGGGAAAATTCTACTACCAGTCCTTCATCACCTTACACGAAATAATTCAATGGTAACGTCAGCTCAACTCATATCATTGTGGGAAAATTCTACTACCAGTCCTTCATCACCTTACACGAAATAGCGTCAGCTAAACTCATATCATTGTGGGAAAATTCTACTACCAGTCCTTCATCACCTTACACGAAATAGGGGATCAGCTCAACTCATATCATTGTGGGAAAATTCTACTACCAGTCCTTCATCACCTTACACGAAATAGGGGCCAGCTCAACTCATATCATTGTGGGAAAATTCTACTACCAGTCCTTCATCACCTTACACGAAATAGGGTGAAAACTCATATCATTGTGGGAAAATTCTACTACCAGTCCTTCATCACCTTACACGAAATAGGGTGAATACATACTCATATGATTGTGGGAAAATTCTACTACCAGTCCTTCATCACCTTACACGAAATAGGGTGAATACATCCTCATGACTCAAACTAAGACTGTTAATAACGATGCTGTAGAAGCATCCTAGCATATACCATGCCAAAGTCAGATCCTAAACATTTTCTGGGAATTGCTTCTAACGACGTATTACGAGGTGATGCTACAAGAGTATTTTTTCCCACGATCATATTGCACAAAGCAGGTCAAACTAGCAGTTTGTGTTCTTGCGTTCTCTGTGCTTTCCTTCTTAAAATCTATTAGCCAGTGGATGGTATAATAGCTGATACGTTGTGGCTTACGTCCTGTTTAAGCTTAATGTTATTAAATGGTGACTATACCTCGTTTTTGAAACTTGGTCGGAGCAAAGAGAGACTTTGTGGTACGTTCCTAGTCATGCGGTCTCTGTCATAGTTTTCGTGAGTTACAGTGTCGGAACATTGACTTAATACATTTCCAGACGTTTCGCGGGCCACATCATTGAGAGCGGCATAATTAACCCGGAGTCGCAACTTATCGAAATTACCCAATTATATGCTCAACTCCTATAGCATGACTTCTCTCTCCTTTTTTTCCTGCCATCTAGTTCTGCTTAATTTTCGCCCAACCCAATCTAATATGGCCTATTTATCTATCCACCTCATTTTGACTTCTCGTTTTCTTCCATGTCGCCTAAATTAGTCTCTTTCACTAGATTTAGGGAAGCTCAATCAACTTTACCACTATTTTTACACGCCAACCTCAAGGCAACGAGATCAAAGAATGATATGGATCTATAAATGGGCAATATGAAGTAGGAATAAGAGTAAAATGAGAAGCAAATGTCATCTTTCTCATACCAACTCCCATTATAATACATTCTTTAGGGCCCTTTTTCCGGCTTTATTTGGAACCGCTGTTGTGGAAATGCACCGTTTCCGTTTGCTCTCCTGAATCGCATAAAACACACTCCTTTTGACCCCCTTAGTCAGGCATGTATATGATCACCTCTCATTAAGGCGATCACACAAAAAATTCACACAATCATACATATACAAATTCAGACTAAGGAACAAGTGATATAGTCCTCACCAGGTCGGTTTCCTCACCATGATGAGTTAGATATGTATTTATATCTTGTCTTAGCACATAAAATAACGTATAATCTACATTTTTCTAGATTTAATTTCCTGTACCACATCTTACGGGTGGACCCATATTGGTAAGTATTTGACTGATTCCATGTTTGAGTCCGTTCACTGCCATTGCTTTATCGTGGATTTACTTTTCCCACATGATCCTTATTTAAGATGCTGACTACGATGTGGGTAAAATATATAGCATTGTACCAAGTCAACGATCCGATGCTAGAAATTACCTTTACGGCAGAGGACGCAGAACCACGTACATTCAACGAGTTTTATCTGTCAATCCGAGCCAATAGCGCAAACGAGATAAGCTCAACATTATACAGGAGACTGTGGCTAAAAAAGGGTAAACCGTCTCATTTTTCGTATCTACAACATTTATGTTGTGGCTTAACGAAAATTAATCTCTATTTAGGTGAAGCTTCGGATTTGAATTTTTTACATGGAGTTTGATTCAGGAGCTCAAGTTTGAGCGAACATTTAGTCTTTAAAAAGCATTCGAATGATTTAAAGACATAATATCCAAAGTCTGATTTTTCAAAGAAAATACAATGAGCTGTGTGATTGACACACTTGGAAAGGAGGAATGAAACAATAATAATAAAGACCCACATTTGACTCTTTGATTAATAAACTCTTGGTTGAGATTTTTTGTAAAATCAGATCCTATTGACACTCACTATAAATATTACACTTAAAGTGCAAAAAAGAAATAAAAGCAATTGTTTGCTTCTATTTTGCAATTTTCTAATATCTTTTATTAAAATATGTGCATCATTTTTTACCTGATATGTACTTAGTCATAACTGTATACGTCAGTCCTTGTTTTAAGTGGCTAAACACACTTAAGGGCCAGTTTGCTTTGCTCTCTTCTACGTGTTCACGATTATGTTCCTTCTCCTTCTATCTTCACTTCTCCTAATTTCATCCTCTCTTTCCTTTAAAGAGGAGGAGGGTGTTTTAGTCTTAAATAGCGAAAATTTTGATCGGGCTATTACATCTCATGAGTTTATTCTTGTTGAGTTTTGTAAGTCAATGTAAAACATTCATCATTTAGATGCTCCATGGTGCGGCCATTGTAAGGCTCTCGCACCTGAATACTCAAAGGCAGCCTTAACGCTTAAGGAAAGTGGATCCCCTATCAAGCTTGCTAAAGTTGATGCGACCGTCGAGACTGAACTTGGAAAGCGATACGAGATCCAGGGTTTTCCAACACTCAAATTTTTCAGAAATCACCTTTCTATTGATTATAACGGAGGCAGAGATGCTGCTGGCATAGTGCAGTGGCTTGTAAAAAAGACCGGTCCCCCTCTCACCGTCCTGGAAACTTCTGATGCAGCCTCGTCATTCGTAGATCAAAGTAATGTTGTCCTGGTAGCCTTCTTCAAAGATATCAACTCAGATAGTGTAAAAAGAATAGAGGAGATTGCAAGACATTTTGACGATCATCTATTTGGAATTGCTCACACCAATGAAATCCGCGATAAGCTTTCCGCCAACGAGGACAGCCTTGTCCTTTTCAAGAAGGTACAAAATTAAGTCTTATATTTTGTAGTTCGATGAACGCCGTGTTGAATATAATGGCGATTTTTCCATGGACTCTCTTAAATACTTTATATCCTCCAATGAACTTCCTTTGGTTGTTGAGTTCAACCCAGAAATTTCTGCTAAAGTTTTCGGCAGCGATGTTAAAACACATTTAGTTGTTTTTTTGTCTGCTACTGCCGGAGATTCTGCTAACCGCCTTGCAACTCTAGCGGATGTAGCACGACTATTCAAAGGGCAGGTAATCTCATCACCATATATATATCCCAGATACACGTCGTTTATGTCAACACGGATGTAGCTGATCATTTGCGCATACTTGAGTTTTTCGGCCTTACCAAAGAACATGTCCCGGCATATCGTCTCATCAATCTCAAAGATGATATGGTTAAATATAAGCCAGAAGTTGAAAGCTTTTCTTTAA